ATTGAATGCAGGCACGACGCGTAGATTCACCAACGACGTTTCTGTGTCCAACGTTGAAGAGCCTCTCATGCTGCAGCTTACCGGATGCCAGTTGCCTGTCATGACGTCCCAGGTGTTTCACAAGTATCTCGGTAAGAAATTCGGAGGGGACTTGCGCAGCATATCATATTGCAACGAAAGTATCGCATGGAGTGTGCATGGGGTAAGTTTCACTTGCACAAAACACTGAAGTTTAGTAAAATTATATCGTTGCGCCTTCGTTTGGTTTTTTTTCGACGCGGTTGTTACGCCTACCGCGGTCTACGGTCTCTCGACGACAGCCACGACAGCAGTCCATCGGTCGCGGATTGTGTCGACGCGAGCAAAAAACGCTGCGCAAAATGGTCGGTTTCAACAAGCATCCCCGCGAAAGTTGGGAGGAAACGGGGAGAGGTTGTAAGCAAAAAAAGTGCGCGTCGTTTTGAGCATTTTTCCTATGTCACACTGGCTCATTGTGATGGATCGCTCCCTGTGGCGCCTTGTGGCGCGTCTTGCCACTGGTGACCCGCAAGCGTGGCCAGCGCAAATGTTACGGTAGCGCCCGCCCGGACTTCGACGCCGAGGCCAGATTCTATGCCGTCGATTCTATCTTAGGACACGAGCAAGGTACGAGTTTTTCACATGATGCAATTATGTCGCCAAGAGCCTTTCCCCTGGCAGCGGTTGGAGACTGCATGATTGAATTACATGTGGTGGAACGCATGATGTAAGATAGAGTTTCATATCGGTATTATATCCATCATTTCTCTTGCATGCGCGATGTCTTGCCGTAATGTTTCACGGCCTCCGTCTCCGCTTGTGGAGCGAGCGGCCTCCAGGCCCCTCGACCGGACTTGACTTGACTTGAGGGTTGGGAAAAAGCTTCACATGCTTCCAAGGAGGCCTCTGAGCCACAGCCCAGGCACGGTGGTGGGATGGACTGACAGCCACTAGATCCGCCGCCCCCTGTGGTCTTGCCACAGGAGTGCCCGGTGCACTGGACTTCTCACGATTTGGTTTTGGTTCTTTCCCAAGAGAACTCTCCCCTGCGGCGTCGGCCCGTTCCGCTGGCCACCCGAAAGGAACCGCAAGCGAGCACACCGTCCGCAAAAAATCGTCCAAGACGGCTCAATATAGCCTCCAAGATGGCCACGTTGGCCCAAGATGGCCTCCACGATGCCTCCAGGACGGCCAAGATGGCCTCCAAGACGGCTAAGATTGCCCCAAGATGCCTCCAAGACGGCCCAAGATGCACCCAAGACTGCCCAAGATAACCTCAGGATGGCCCAAGACGGCAAGACGGCTCAAGAGGCCTCCGAGAGGTCTTGCAGGAGGCTTCAAATCACTGATGTTCCTTGGGTTTTTGAGGGATGTTCGTGTTTGCTCCATTTCGGCCTTCCGACGGCCCAATGAGGCCCCCAAGGTCTCCTCCAGAGCGCCCACGAGGGCTCCAAGATGGCCTCGGGACGGCCCACCCGGGAGAGCCCCAGTGGACGGCCCAGAAGGCCACCAAGACGCCCAACGAGGCCTCCAAGACGGCCCTGGAGCACCCCAGGAGGGTTCCAAGCCGGCCCAGAGTGGCCCCCAAGACAGCTTCCGACAGAGCCAGACGGGCCAGGAGCCCAACAAGGCGTCTCCAAGATGGATCTTAGATAGCCTAAGACGGCCCAAGAGGCCCCCAAGAGGTCTCGCTTCTTTTCGGCCGTCAGACGGCCCGAGACGGCCCAAGAGGCCTCCAGGATTGCCTCAGAATGGCCCAAGATACACCCAAGACGGCCGCAAGAGGGCCCCCCAAGACGGCCCAAGAGGTCTCGAAGACGCCCAAGATGGCCTCCAAGACGGCCCGGGAACACCCAAGGAGGGTTTCAAGTCGGCCCTGAGAGGCCCCCAAGACGGCTGCCGGCGGCGTCACACGGGCAAGGAATGCCCTGAGACAGCCAAGAGACCCCCGAGGAGCCCCCAAAGGCCCCCAGGAGGCCCAAGGAGGCCCCCAAGATGACTCCAAGAGGCTTCCAGGAAGCACCCAGGAGGCACCAAGAGTACCCCCAGAGGCTCTCAAGATGCTCTTCTTCCTCCTCCTCCTCCTCCTCCTTCTCCTCCTCCTCCTCCTCCTCCTCCTCTTCCTCCTCCTCCTCTCCTCTCCTCTCCTCCTCCTCCTCCTCCTCCTGATCTTCCCCGCCATCCCCCCCCAAATGTTCCCCGACGGGTTTCCACAACGGTTGGGGGAACACCTGGTCCGTTAGCTTGGCAGAGCTCTTGCCACAACGCTCGGCCACATGGGCGACTTCGAAGGCAGGGGGCGGCGGTGACTCGCCGTAGGCGTCTTCGATCCGTCTACCCCTGTTGATGTATCACAGGGGTGCCTGGCGTGCTCAACGTCTCAAAAGGTCTTTGTCTTTTTGTTCCAACTCCCCATGGTGCTTCGACCCACCGCACCGGCCACCAGGAAGGCTGCTCGCGATGCCCAGGTGGTTGCCTTTCTCGCTCCTGCATGGCCTAAGATGGCCCCGAGATGCACCCAAGACGGCCCAAGATGCACCCAAGACGGCCAACGACTGCCTGAAGATGCCCAATACGGCCCAAGAAGCTCCCAAGAGGCCTCCAAGACGGCCCGAAGAAGCCTCCAAAAGGTCATCCAGCAAAGCCCGAGGAGGAAAGCATTAGTGATTGTCCATGGGTGTTGAGAGAATGTTTGCAGTTGCGTGTCTTCGGCGATCCGACGGCGAAAAGAAACGGCCCAAGAGGCTTCTCAGATAGCCTGAACATCGCTCAAGAGGTCTCCAAGATGGCTCCATGACGACCCCCCAAAAGGGCCTCCAAAACAGCCCCAGGAAGACCCCAAGACAGCCCAAAAGACCTCCAAGACGGCCCCAAGACACCCACAGATGGACCAAAGCCGGTTCAGGGAGGCCTCCGAGACGCCTTCCGACGGCGTCTTGGGGGGCCAGGAACGCCCTAAGACGGCGAACAAGGCTCCCAAGAAGCCCCCAAAGGCCCCAAGAGGCCCAAGGAGGCTCCCAGGAGGCCTCCAAGAGGCCCCCTCGGAAGCTCCGAGGAGGCCCCAAGAGTGCCCCGAGTGGCTCCCAGGAGTCCTCGCCCTCCTCCTCCTCCTTTTCCCTCCCCCTCCTCCTCCTCCTCGTCTTTCCCCCCACGTGTTTCCCCAGAAGGGTCTCCACCAACAGCTGGGGCAACGCATCGTCCCATTGAAACGACGCGAAGATCGGAACAAAATCGGATCGGGGTAACTCGAAATCTCTGAGAATCGGCGGGTTTGGAGGATGTATTGGGCGCCGCGGCCGCTCCAGAGCGTTCCGGAACGCTCTGAGAGCGCTCCGGAACGCTCTGGAGCGATTTATCCCGATCCTAGCCCTGTTTTACCCATAGCTTTCCCAAGCGTTTGGCCACACAGGGAGGGCAGCGCAGCCTACAGGGCGGGGGGCAGCGCTCCTTCGCCGCAGGCGTCTCCGACACGCCGCCCCCCCCGGGGCGAATCCATCACGGGGGCGCCCGGCGCGCGGAAAGCATGGTGCTGGGGCTCCGGCCCAGCGCCGGCCGCCCGTAGAGCATGTCCGGACCCGACTGCAGAGGTTTTTGTCCCTGCTCCAGCTGGCTCCGAGATGGCCTCCAGGACGGCGAACGTCGCCTTCAGCTTCGCACAGGATGGCTCCAGGATGGCCTCCAAGAGGGCCCGAGAGAGTCCAAGTTGCCTCCAAGGTCGCCCAAGCAGCCTCCAAGCCGGCCCAAGACGACCCCCGAGGCCCCCAAGAGGCCTCCAAGACGGCCCAAGCGGCCTCCGCGAGGTCCTCCAGGAGGGCCCGAAGAGGTCCACTGAAATCATCCTCTTGAGGGAAGACAGAATTTGATTATTTTCGGCCTTCCGACGGCCCAAATGGCACCCAAAGGCCTCCAAGATGACCCCATGACGGCCAAAGAAGCCTCCGAGACGACCCCAAAAGGGCCTCACGACTTTCCAAGAGGCCTCCAAGACGCCAAGACGCCCAAGATGGTCTCCAAAACGGCCCAGAAGCGCCCCAAGAGGACCCCTAACAAATCGGTTCAAAGAGGCATCCCAGACGGCTTCCGACGGCGTCCGACGGGCCAGGAACGCCCTTAGACGGCCAAAGCGGCCCCGAACAAGCCCACATAGGCTCCGAAGTTGCCCAAGGAGGCCCACAAGAAGCCTCCACGAGGTCACCAGGAAGCTCCCAGGAGACCCCAAGAGTGCCACAAAAGGCTTTCAAGGGGCGTCCTCCTACTACTTGTTCTTCTCCTCCTCTTCTTCTTCCTCCTCCTCCCTTTTCATTATTCGTCATTCTCCTCTTCCTCACGTGTCCCCCGAAAGGTTTCAACGACAGCTGGGAGACCACATTGTTCGATAACTGTAATCCAACGTTCGGCCACATAGGCGTTTCCCAACAAGGAGGGGCGGCGGTGATTCGCCGTAGGCGTCTTCGATACCCGGCGTCACAAAGCCGCAACCAAAAATAACATCCAACCGTCCGCGAAAAAGACCATTGATCGCCACTCTTCCCTCAACCGTCATCATACAAATTCTCCTCCGTCCATTCTCCATGCCCCCTCCCGTGCGGTCCTGTTCCCCCTTGACCCCTCCCCTCCCCATCCATCCCCTCCTCTCTCTCTTCTCTCCCCCCCTCTTCCCTCCCCCCCTCGCCTCCCCCCTTTCCTCCGATCCCATCCCTTCCCCTCTCCCTCCTCCTCCTCCTCCTCCTCCGTCTCTTTCGCCCTCTTCCGTCCTCCTCCAGCTCATCCTCCTCCCGGCCCCCCTGCCCTCCTCCTCTTGTCCTCCTGCTCCTCCGGCTTATCCCTGCCCTGCTCCTCCTCCTCCTCCCCCATCGGCCCCTCCCCCATCCCCCTTCCGAACCCTCCTCCTCCCCCACCTCCTCCTCCTGCTCCTCCTCCCCCCCTGGCCTCCGCGCATCAAACATTGGGCCACCTCCTCCTCCCCCCCGCCCCCCCCTCGCCTCAACCTCTTCCGCCGCACCTCGTCCTGGAAGCCCACGAAGGCCGCCCGCGCGCACTCGGGCCATGCCCCGGCTGCCTCGCTGCCCCGTGGGCGGGGGACGGGGGAGCTCGTGCAGAGGAGGGAGGGGGAGGGACGGGCCGAGGGGGGGAGTGGAGGAGGGGGTCCAGGCAAGCTAGGTGCGCTCGCGTCATATCTGACATCCTACCCCTCCCTCCCATCCCATACCATGGCGCAGATCCCCTCTCTACTCGCACAGTCGGATGTCGAGCAGGGCAATGATCCCGAAAGGGTACGCGATGCATTGTAGAGCACGGCATGGCATGGCGTAGAAGAGCACCGCAAAGCGTAGTATCAACCGAGCATTGCATTGCATGCCGTGGCATGGCACGGGAAATGACGCCAGCGCTGCAGCGGGAGCACGAGTCGAAACGAGCGGAAGCGCGGAAATGAGGCCAGCGCTGCAGCGGGAGCACGATTCGGAACGAGCGGAAGCACGGAAATGAGGCCAGCGCTGCAGCGGGAGCACGATTCGGAACGAGCGGGGCCCGAAAATGAGGCTGGCGCCTCAGCGAGAGCAGCATTTTGAAAAAAATGCAGGCGAAAACCCACCTCCGGGGAAACTTGTGTGTGAAAAAACAATACGTGGGGGGGGTCGGACACTCCCAGGCCGTCATCAGGGGAAGAGGGAGAGTAGTATTCATATTGAATAATTGTGGAGGGTATAGGGGGAAGAGGAGGGATGGCGAGAAAGGGCTGCAGAGAAACCAGTCCGGACAAGTGTCAGGGCCTGCACGTGACCAGGTGAGCGAGGCCGCAGCCTCCAAATGCTGTGGCGCATGGTCCAGCAGGCATGCGAGACATGTGGAAGTTACGCGAGACGAAGGAGGAAGAGGAGGTGGAGTCCTTGTGGTCGGTGTCGTCGTGCGGTGTCGCTGGGTGGGCGTGTTCGTCACCGCTTAGTGGCGCGGGTGCTCTCAGTCTATGGTGGTCGGCGTTGGTGGTGGGCAGCGTTTGGTGTAGGTTCGGTCTGTGCTGCTAATGTTGCCAGTCGGCGCTGGTGGCGTGTGCTGGGTTTGGTGTTGGTGTTGGCACAAGGCATCGGCAATCGGTGCTGTGGTGCTTGATTACTGATGGTAGGTGCATGTGGGCAGGTCGGCTCTGCCAGCGCCACTGCCGTGCGGGTATGTGGCAATTCGTATTGTCAGACGTTGGTGGCAACGCAGACACGATCGATTGAGTTCCACCATGTCGGGTCTGTCGCAGCTGTAAGCCATCTCACATCGTCGGGGGTCGCAAGTAAGGGATCTTCGTGGGTGGGTGCCGTCGTTGGTGTTGCGTTATGGCGTCTTCGCGAACAGATGCACGTCGAGTAAAAAACGTCCGTAATTCAAGAAGGAGCTGAGGAGGGGGAGGGAGAGGGAGAGGAGGGATGGACAAGCTAGGCGCGCTTGCGCCATATTTAACATGCCACCCATCCCACCAACCCCATTCCCTGTGCGCTGGTGGTGTCCCTGTCCGTCGGCGTGTCCTTGCAGGCACGATTCCACCTAATAGCCACATCGTGCGATGCGCAATCCGAAGGCGAGCTGCGTGCATTGGAGGAGGTGGCGGATGATCAGGAGGAATATCCGGCGGAAGAGAAAGGGGGAGGAGGAGGAGCAGCAGCAGCAGCAGAAGGAACGGGAGCAGCAGGAGGACCAGGGGAACGCGGAGAAGGGGAATGTAATGGGAGCGCCGACGACGAGGAAGGAATCGGATCCAGAACTGTGGCCCGCACTGCGGGGAGAGCGCAATTCAAGCGGCGAGCCTGAAAAGAGGTCAGCGCTGCATCTGGGTAACCATTTACAAAGTGAATGGTGCCGATTTGGGCAAGTAGATCTTCAGTATCACCTCAAAAGGCCTGTGTGAAAACCAGATGTGGAAGGGGGGACGGGCACGGAGGAGTGGCGTGCACGGCGGGGGCGGGGGAAAAGGGAGGATGAGAAAGCGGGAACAGAGAACTGGAGGGCGCGGGAGGAAGAAGAAGAGAGAGAGGGCGGGGAGGGGGAGGGAGACAGTGGGACTGAGAATGGAAGAGGGGGAGGGGAAAGAATGAACATGCCCACGTCTGCCCCGCTCTCACGGGCAGGTCCGCAGGCAGACGTAGAAGGAAGAGCTTGACCCTCGATATGCAGCGAGCGCCCGCAAGAGAAGCGCCCTCAACCTCGACAAGGGGGCGGGGAGGTCTTCGCAGGGAAGATCGGGTGTCTTGGGGAAGCGGGCTTCGCAAACGTCTCGAGCCGCGGGTCCCTCCTTCAACTTGCCCCCCCCACTTCCCCCAACAGGGTGTCCCGTCGGAAGAGAATCGGAGGTCCCAACCCCAGGAGGCGCAAGGCAAGCCTCTCTGCCAGCGGCATCCAACCCTGGGCCGAAGAATCAGCCGGGTCGACAGGCCGTGCTACGACCTCGAAACCTAGAGAGACCTCCGCACTTTTTTACCTGCGGTAAGGAGCCCTGTG